GATTGCTGAGTTCAAAGCCAACCCCAGCAAAAGCAAGCCGCTAAGCAACTCTGTGAGAACCTATCTCTAAATAAAAAACAAAACAGGGCTGGCCATGTGGCTCAGCAGTTAAGTGCCCCTGAGTTCAATGCCCAGTACACCACCACCACCCACAAAAAAAAAAAAAAAAAAAATTTATATATATATATATATATATAAAAATTAGGCTTGTCTTGACTCAAATGCCAACTACCATCTTGAGATTTTTAAATCAAAATATTCTCACCCCCAGATTGTGTTTGGTACACAGAAAGATGCAACAAAAATCTGCTTTATTAGTTTATTAATGTAAACTTTGAAAAACTTTTTAATGCATTTTCAATAAGACTGCTCATATGAACTTCTCATTCCCACATCATTAAGCCAAGGGCTAAAAAACATTATGTTTGGGCATGATACAGCACTATGCCATTTTTCAGGTTCTGAATCTAAGGCTTCCTTCTTTTATCTGTCCCAGAGCTCTACATAAACAAGTACAAAATACTCTGGGCTGGAGATACAGCTTGATAATAGTAGTTCTTGCCTAGCATGAGAGGCCTTACATTTAATATTCAGCCCCACCCCAAAAACATTAAAACAGAAAACAAAATACTGCCTTCAATTTAATGTTGACTTCTATAGTAGCCAAATGCAAATGACAAAAATATTAAAATATTTTTTTCATATTTAAAAGAATAAGCTTCAAACAAGTGTGCACAATGAATATTCTCTGTGCATCTAACATTTATCAGATACTGTTCTAAGCACTGAGAATATAACCCTGAAAAAGAAAACTTACAAAAATTCCCTGCCCTCATGGATCTTCCATGCTTGTTAACAACATTTACAGAGCATCAAGGTATTTTCCAAGTGCTTTACATGTTTTAAACCATTTAGTCTTCATAATCCTGTGAGAAACTTAGTATTTTTCCATTATGAGGTGAGGAAACTGAGGAACTAGTTACAAAACAAACAGAAGAGCTAGCCAGAGTCTGGGTCTGAGTTCATACTTCTGGACATTATGGTACCCTGCCCCTCTAAAGCTTTAATAATAAAAACATTTTATCCCAACAGGATGAACTCATTCTAACAACTCAAGATTTTATACAGACAGGGGAAGAAAAGAAGCATACAAAATGATCTCTAGGATGTTTTAAGTGAAGACTAAGAATGCATGTTCTTTTAATGCAGCCAAAATTTAATGCATAATTCTGAAATAAATTTTTCCCACACGGCCAAAATCTGACAGACTCTCCTGGTTTACTTTAACTTAAAAAAAAAAAAAAAAAAAAAAGCAAAATTAATCTCCTCTTATATGCCAGTTATTACTCTATATTAGTAACCTCCAAGAAGAAAAACTAATAACTGTGTTCAGATTCCAACTTTGCTAAACTTAAGTGCTCCTAACAGGAATTTAAAATTAGGATATTAAAAAACTTGTCTGGAGGATCAAAACTTTTGTATCCATTTTTCTCCTCCTTTCTGGGGTAACAAAAGCATCACATAAAATCAGATCTCTACCTGCCTGACACCTCACATCTGAATGCCTATCTTCAAGCTTCACATCTCTATCAGAATCATGGAACCCCGTCTTCCCCAAAGCTATTCCCTCCTCAGTCTTTCCTGTCTCAGAAATGCAATTGCACTCCAGCTGACCAAATTCCACCTTTGGGCCATTCCTGACTCAATTCAAATTTAATCTATCACCAAATCCTATCAGTTCTAACCTGAAAATATGCAAACCACGCCTTTCTTAGATCTTCTAGTTTAAGTCCCCTCCCCTGCCTCCCAACTAGTTTCCCTGCTCACCCAACTGTCCACATTCTCTCCACAAAGCAGACAGAAGGAATATATCAAAAATCCAGTGAGCATTCCTTGGCTAAAACCATATGAATGGCTTCTTCTTTCACTCCAAATAGCATTCAAAATTCCCATTGAGCCCAAAGGCACTAACAAATAAGGCTCCTCTGCTAACCTTCTACTAGCACAATCCACAGACAAGGTCACACCTGAGTTGCTGCACTCCCTTTTCACTCTGCCCAGTTTGTGTTCCCCTAGATGGTTTTCATGTTTTCCTCCCCATGATTGTTCTTGTATGCATCTCTTATTTTTTAGAAATTTTTTTAATATTTATTTTTCAGTTTTCGGTGGACACAACATCTTTATTTTATTTTTATGTGATGCTGAGGATCAAACCCAGCGCCCCGCACATGCCAGGCGAGCTTGTTACCACTTGAGCCACATCCCCAGCCCCTGCATTTCTTATCATTTTATAAGAAACTCTTTCCCTGAGAACCCCTAGAAATGAACTGCCCCCTCCCGCAGTCACTGTTCATCTATGTACCAAACTTTGTGCTTCTCCATAGCAAGTACTACACCAAAAAGTATACATTCATTTGCTTACTGTCCGTGTCTGCCCCAGAAATGCTCACTCTGCAACAGTAGGCACACTGTTTAGTCCATTCTCTCCACCTCCTGGAACAATGCCTGACAAAACATCCAAGCCTGTGATCATCCACCTGGCAGCCTGGATTATTCTGATGATGAAGGCAAATTTACAGCAATAATTCTAAAACTAAGCATGCATCAGGATAATCTACAGGACTTGATAATGGGAAGATTAGGGTTAGGGGTGTAGCTCAGTGCTTACCTAGCATGCTTCAGGCCCTAAGTTCTATTCCTAGTGCCACAAAGAAAAAAAAAAAAAAAAAAAACCTACAAAGGTGGTGGGGAAACCAGATGCTGGGCCTCTGCGCCATAGTTTCTGACTTAATCTGGGACTGGGCTTGAACATTTACAAGTTCCCTGGATGCCGCAGTCAGGCTGTGGCCCTCAACACCTGGAGGTGTGGGTACTTTGGCCCAAGAACCATAGTCTGAGAACCACTGATTCACACAATATTTAGCTCCAACACACAAGTGGCAATACCAGCCCATGGTGTCAAGGAGTCACAACTGGTAAAAGGAGGAAAGGAAGAGAGTGAAAAGATGCCCTCTGGACCCATGCCAGGTGCTCACTTAGAAAACTGTATAAAAAAAGTCTTTTTAATAATACAGTATAAATATTCTTCCCTGAATGGGATTTATTAAAGAATAGATGGAAACAGATCAAGGTTATAATCTATTAAAGTCTTATGGCACATATATATTTATGTTAATGACTGCTACTCAAACTTTATCCCCCAGGGTTTAAAAAGCAGATGAGAAAGCTTATATCCTTTAGGGGACACTGAAATACCAAACAGTGCAGACCTCAGTTGGGACACTTTTTCCCATCTCTAGGAATAACCCTAACACTGAGGGCAGGCCTACAGCAGTCATGCCTAGCTTACAATCTGCCTCTCCAGTCATGGCAGATTGGTTCAAAATGCATTCTTTTCAAGAATTGGAAATTTGAAGATAAAGCCTTGTGACAAAAGGCCCAGTGTCTGAATTTATGACACTACTGTTAAAAGCAAAACTTCCCAGATGAAACCATAAACTATTGCCACTAAAGTTCTCAGTAATCTCATGGTTCCTGCCTTACTTTGGCTCTCCAATTCTTCCTTTAATTTTTTGACTTTTCCAATAACTTCCAAAAAAAAATTTTTTTTGCCTCTGCAACCAAAAATATGCATAGAGTAAATGTGTAAGCTTTAAAGACAAGTGTAACAGAAATGCAAATTGTGAAATACTAAAGCTTTTCCCATAAATACAACTTAAGGCATTTATTCCCATCTGCAAACTAGTGTTCTGTCTAAATAACTAATAAATCTTAGATCACATCACATTATGACATTATGTCAAATTTTTTCTTCTACTTGCTTCTTAGAGAAGTATTCCAAAACTTAGCATAAGTAAGCATTTTTCCTGGGCTGTGGTTGTGGCTCAGAGGTAGAGCGCTTGCCTAGCATGCGTGAAGCACTGGGTTCCATCCTCAGCACCACAAAAAAAATAAAATAAAGGTATTGTGGCCACTTATAACTAATATAAATAAACATTAAAAAAAAGTAACCATTTTTCCTTAGTTTATCCAAAAAGTATTGGATGCTTATTATCTGTCAATATTATGGGGTATATCATAATGAATGACAAGACCAAGTTCTTCTTTTATGTACTTTATATTCTGCTGGGGAGAGACAGTAAAATAAACAAGAAAAATGCCAGATAATAAGCACTGCTGCAGAGAAAAAAAGAAACTTGTGAAAAAAGTGAGTAACTCACAGGGCTTCTAGGTAAAATGTTAGAGGGAAGGAAGCCTCACCATCAATGAAGTGACATTTAAACTTAGATCCTAAAGAGAAGCAGCAGCCAGACAGTAGAGATCAGGGTACAGCTAAAAAAAAAAAAAAAAGGTTTTGAGGCTAGGAATAGACATAACTTGTTTTAAAAGGCCAAAAGAAGGACAATGTCACTACAATGTAGTGAAAAAGAGGGGAAATCATTAATGATGAGGTCAGAGAAACAGGCCTTGTAACAAAAGGCCCAGTGTCTGAATTTATGTATTTAGAAATTAACTGGTATAGGACAAGATTATTCACAACAAGATGCTTATAGAGAACAGTTGAGTAACAGACTAAGATGAGAGGACAATCAGATTAGAACTAAGTTTCCATAAAAATTTAAGAGCTGAAAGCAATCTTATATTCCCATACCCCATTTTACAGAAAGGATATGTGGCCCAAACTGACTTTTCTGAGGTCAGATTAAAGACAAATGGGGTTTAACTCGTTGCTTTTTAACATTCAAGCCAAAGTTCTTCCCATAATTCTTTGCCTCATTTTGAAATCTCAAATAGCTCTTTACCAGGGGCATTTCTGAAAATGACATAGCAATAATCAAATGGAAACATATTTCAAAAGATAGAAATTATCCATACTTCCAGTCCCTCATATGAACTTTCTTAAATGCAGCTTATAATGCTTAAATATTTACCACCAAATTTATGTTTCCACATTATATAAGCAGAAAAAAAAACTGAATAAAACAAAAGAATATACTTACATCTGGGTATTCTTTTACAGGCACATAAAGTTTCTCTTGTAACTGAACAATAGGTCCCACAGCATCAGGCAATTCTGCACTCCTTTTCTCTGTACTGCCATTTAATGTGTCATTGTACATGTCTTTCCGTACTCTGCTAATTTCTGTTAAAAGTAAAAATTTTAAATGTGTTAGACAAAAAAAGTATTCTTGCTAGTCCAGAAGAAAATAGGGGAGGGGGGTTGCAAGGAAAGATTTCATGTATAGTGTTAAAACTCCAGTGAAGAATTACTGGCCTATTCTGTCTGTTTCTGGATTAAGCCCATGTTTAATAGATTGATAACCTTAATTAATTTCTACCACTAATCGAATTTATAACAACCAAATAAGACATCTTATTAAAACTAATTTCAGAGCCCAAATTCTTAAGCAGTATGATATAGATTTGTTTTACCTAATTTTTCCATGTTTAACTGAGGCCAGTCATTCCAAATGACTGCTTCATCAGTAACTATGAAGAGAATGCCTTCCAGACAACACACACACCAGAGGCTGTTTGACACTTCAGAACTAAGCTCTCTGAATGAAGTTTAGACTGGACCACTTTGTTAGATCCTTTAGATGTCTTCAGAATATTCAGAAATGTCCAATAGATAACAGGTGGCAAGTTTAGCAGAAGTCTGAGTTTGACACACAAATTTAGGGAGCTAAAGCTATGAGAAGAGAGATCTTAAAAGAAGGTAAAGGGAGAAGGGAGGACTGAGGAAAACAAGATCTAAACCAATAAGAAATGAAGGTAGATAGGAGAACTTGAAGAGAGGTGATATAGAAACTAAGGTGATCAAAAGTACTGAAATCTACAGAAATATGGTGAAGTAAAAAGAAAAAGATGGTACCTGGGATTTGACCATTAAGCTATTGGTGATCAAAGAAGTTTCAAAAAAAAGATGGTAAATGGAAATCAAACTACACAGAGTTACTGAATTAAATATAAGAAATTAGAGATATCCCAAATCAATAACCTTAAAAAAAAAGTATTACAATTCTTAGGTATAAATATATACTTAAAGAAAAAATGTTGAATCTATTTCACTAGGTTAAGTTTTTAAAGAAAATGGATTAATTCTTCCAAGAATTATCTATTAAGCTTCTATTCTGTGCTAGAGGATAGGTTCCCACTGGAATATACATGAATTGTCATTATTAGGCTATTAGCTGGATGCCTATGTAACTGTCTTCCATTCTACAGATTATGTCCTCCTTGAGGAAAAGGCTCACATCCAAATACTTTTTTTTTTTTTGAAAGAGAATTTTTTTTTTTAATATTTATTTTTCAGTTTTCGGCGGACACAACATCTTTGTTTGTATGTGGTGCTGAGGATCGAACCCGGGTCGCACGCATGCCAGGCGAGCGTGCTACCACTTGAGCCACATCCCCAGCCCCCAAATACTTTTTTAAGTCTTTTATTTTTAAAATGTATTTTGTATATCACCCTAAAGTGAAATTCCAATCTACTGATATTAAGGAACTATCAAATTTGAATGTACTCTTTAATTTTCATAACTACTTATTTGAATCTGTTTCAGTTAAATAAAATCCAATACAGAAAAAAGGTGTGATCAAAGGTATTTTTACCAAGTTATAAAATATTACTTTTTAAAACTCATACACATTTTGCTTCAGTAATAGCAATATTCATTTCATTACAAATTTTTTTTCCTAAATAACAATTTGATTATCGAAGCTTACCAAAGGTTTAGCTTTGAATAGCAAATGAAATCAACAAAAATTTAAAAAGAGAGTACCTTGGATTTGACTATAAGGGCAAAACTTTATTCTTTCTTAAAGTTCTTGTATATGTCTAGTATTATTATGAAGTCTTTCTTAAGTATCAAATTAGTGTGTAGTTAGCCAAACGGCATTAGAAACAGTTAATATAATTAAAATTACATATATATCCTTTCATCCAGGTATTTATACCATAAATGCAAGAACAGTTCAAAATTTAACAATCTGTTATAAGTAATCTCAGTAATATAACAGAGTAAGGAGGGGGAAAAAAATCATGACCTTCCAGGTAAACAAATTTTCCAAACTTAGAAAAATTAAAGGAACCAATTGTAAATGATAAAAAAAATCCAGATGGCGATATTAAAATACGTATAAATACATAAAACCAATAACCTTTATATATATATATATATATATATATATATATATATATGCATCCAGTTAGATAACAATGTATTTACCATTAGGTTGTACTTCTATAAATAATAAAAGAAAAAAAAAATCACACAATTAAGAACTAAAAGTTCCGCAGGCTTCTGCTACCCACCGCTTCCCCTGAACCCAGACAGAGCCTGGAACACACCGAGTCCTCAATAAGAGTAGATAGGTGGGTAAATGACATAGGATGGGCTAGTTCTACAGCATAGTTCTGATTTCAGCTCTCAAAGAACTTATCCAATATGAAAGACAGATAGGCAGTATTTCTCCCATGATTTGTTTCAGTCTCTAACATGTACCACGGACCTTAATACCTAAATATAGATTATGTAGCAGACAGTTCTGATGGGAATGAAAAGATGACCAAGTCCTCAAGGAATGTACAATCTAATTCATTATTAAATCAAACCAGCTGAGTACTATCTTTATCAAAAATACTCATATCAGAACAAACTGTCAGAACTACAGTAACTCTTTCAGATTTAAGACAAGTCTCTTATTTAACCTCTGTATGCCTGTGCTTCATATCATTAGAGGTCCATTACTGAACGACTCAACTGAACTCAGTGCTCCCCAACCTTAGGGTGCAAGAGGCCCATTTATTATTTTCTCCTATAACCCCATGTTCAAAACTTTTCATCCACTAAGCCCCAGAAATTAGAGCTTCTTCTACTATTATCCTATCAAGTTGATAAAATTACAACCAAGCTATTGTAGAAGCATGCAATAGGTCTGGGGAATGTTTTAGTCCTTGCCTAACTAGTGGTTTAACATGTACTCATTTCTCAAACACTGGAATGCCTCATAACTACTGTTATTGTTTTGTCAATTATTACACAGTAATACTCAAATGTTCCCCCCATCTCTGTGTGATCTTAGAAACCATTAATACAAAAATTCCTACTGCAATAACCCCTAAATTGGGCATGTATCTTCTATCTAAATTCCTTAATTTGTTTTTACACTGCTCTGAAGTTCTTAAATGTCTGAAATTTCATTTCATTGAATCGAAATCCACACTCCAGAGGCTGTTTACCTCTGGTCCTTGAAGGGTCCACTTTCCAAAGTGTTAAGAACTCCTTTACTCCTTTGGCAAGCATGACACATTGAGACATTTTGCTGCTCATACGAAGGTAAGTCTCTCCTATTTCACATTTCCACAATTGTTCATTTGAACACCAGCAGACAATTCAAAACAATTTTTTTTTTCTGGTTGTTTTATACAATATACATTCCTTGGACTGATGTTAAACAGCTAACTTTCTTTAGGGTTGAACAGTGTGAGTCAAAACTCTAACTGCAATTTCAAAGAGCACATATTTTACTAACCTGGCTGCCAAATACAGGCACCCCTTACTAACTACCTGATGAAATCTCCACCCACACTGGATTCACCTCCCTGTAGATCCACACTTGAGATCAATCATCCATTTGAAATCTATAGGTTATGCCATCAAGTTTAGGAAATTGATTTTTTTGGCTTTTAGGAGTATTCAATAACTAAGCAATAAGGCTCCTCCCATTTTGTGTTTGCTTGAATAGATAATTCATTGATCACATTTTCTCCCAAATTTCAGTGCTGCAGAAAGCTATTTTTGTGAGGGCCTAAAAACTTGTTCTGGTTGTACTACTTAATGTCTCCTCAAATTTCTCTGCTTTAACTGATTTTTTTCTTTTTCTTTTCCAAACCAAAGCTCAACTCCTTTTGTTGTATTTGAAATCACTAGACAGGTAGTCAGTCCCACATTCTCTTAAAAATTTTGTACTGTTCCTTTTAAAATTGGAATTACTGTATAAACTACCAGAGCAATTATTCTGTGCTAAACTGGAATATCACAATCAAGGACAACATGAAGAAATGTCAAAGAACAGAAAAATATGAGTGGCAAAATCTAAATTTCAAAATCAAGCAATCATTTCACAAACGAATAAATGGAAAATAGCTAAAGCTGTAGATAATAAAATACAACAACAAAATGCATAAAAAAGAAATTTAGGATTTGTAACAATCTAAATTAACATATACAGTATAGATTTTATAAGTTAAAATGATAGCTTTCATCATTTGAAAGTAAGTAAATGGGCTCTAGTATTTCCTCACTATCTGCAATATACCTCTTGCTAGCCATTAAGTTAATAGGCTAACACAAAGAATAAATTAGATTTCAGTTATTTTAATTCTTAATTAACACAAGTACAAGTTTTTCTTTAAGTATGCTTACTAAAATTACAATATTTGGAGTCTATTCAACCCTAGAAAAAAAAACAAAAAAAAAAAAACCTGCTGCTTCATAAAGTGGTGGCTGTTACATACCCTTATGTACGTAGGGTTAACAAAGAGCTATTAAAAGAAATATTTAATTCAGAGTTTACTAAACACAGGTAAAGTACAAAAGTTATTCTAAAAGAAAAATTCATGAAATATCATTTCACTGTAGTCATTCTAAGTCACATTCATAAAAGTACAGAAAGCATATAAATTCAAAAGCAAATCACTACACAGTGCACCACTATTTAATGTAACACATCTTGCTTACTCTAACAACCAAATAATTCAATCTGAATTTTTTGAAGCAACTACTTTCAAACTGGTAAGAAAACAAAATAAAGTCATTAGTAATTCTCTAGATGGGGCCTCTTTGGGGGCTAAATTGTACTTCTGTACTTCAAAATTACACTACACAAACTACAAAACAAAGGTCACATCATAACCCCCTTTATACTGCCAAAATTAACAACGGTGCAAACTGAAAACAAATTTCACACACAAAAAAATGAAAGAGCAGACCTTATAACAATGTTAATTAATTTGCTTAACTGTCACTCTCAGGAGCAGCTCCACACAATGGAAGGTACTGAACAGTAAGCCATACCTTCCCGGAAAGGCTCTTTCATAGGTATACATAACCCAATTTATATACTTAAGCACATGTA